ATCAGCCCTCCACTATTATTCTTCCTTATAAAAATGGCTTTGCTATTTTAGGTTCTTTGCATTTCTATATAAATTGTAAAATCAGCTTCTGAATTTCTACAAAAAGTCTGCTAGAATTTTGATTGAGATTGCATTAGATCTATAGAACAATTTCAAATTTTAGAAGAATTGGATGAGTCTTCAATTCATAAACACAATATATTACTACATTTCTTAAATTTTTTAAATCTTTCCTAGTAATTATTTTTCAGTATAAAATATATTTAGTATGTACAGATTTTGCATGCATTTTAAAAATTTTCTTCTAGATATTTAAAATTTTTTCTAAATAACTTTTATACTTTGATGCTATTTTAAATGGCATTTTAAATTTCAATTCTGAAGTTCTTGTTACTAGTATATAGAAATACAACTTATTATTTTGAATTGGCCTTGTGTCCTGCAAGCCTATAAAATCATTTAGTAGTTCTAATAGCTTTTTATAGATTTATTAAGATTTTCTTTGGAGACAACTATGGTATCTGTAAAGACAGTTTTACTTCTTCTTTCTCAATCTAGATGCCTTTTCCCCCTGCATTATTGCACTGGCTATGATTGCCAGTACAATGTTAAATAAAAATGGTGAGAATGGTCATGTTTTCCTTGTTTCCCAAACTTCTGGGTAAATCATTCAGTCTTTCATCATTGAGTATAATGTTAACTGTGGGTTTTTCATAAATATCCCATCAGGTTGAGGAAATTCTATTTCATATCTAGTTTTCTGAGCTCTTTCATTATGAACTGTTGAATGTTGTCAAATGTTTTTCTGCATTTATTGAGATGAATTTTTTTTGGATTAGTCTATTACTATGGTGAATTACATTGATAGATTTTAAATAATAAAACAACCTTCTGCTTTATCTCAAACTAGAAATGACCCATATGTCGATAAGACAATGGTTAAACAAATTATGGTTTACAACATACCCATCTCCTTTATTTTCTCTGTCATATCAGCAAGAAAAAGGCAGGAAACCTTTAAAAATAGGCAAATGATATGTGCAAAGCACAGGAAAGGAACTTCAGATTCCTATGAAGAAATTCTCAAAATCACTGGTAATCAGATAACAGGCCATTAAAATAAGAAGGCATCATGTTTTACCCATTGATCTCAACAGCCACAGGCTCTGTTTGCTTTCCTCTCAGTGCAACACATAAGAGTTTATGCCATGCTAAAAATAACTAATTATTGACAAAAATTAAACCATTACTATCCAGTTCCTGACTGGGAGAAGAGAAGCTGGTGTTGCTGTGTTTGAGGTCAACCTGGCAGGGATGAGTGACAGGAAGCATTCTTCAGTACTTATCTGGAGGAAACTCCTACATGAGCCCAAGGACAAGAAGAAACATGCAAGAATGTTTATCACTGTGCTGTTTGTGATAGCAAGGGAAGAAAGCAACCTAATTGTCCCTCTGTCTGGATAAATTAGGGTGGGATTTGCCTATAATGGAATAATATACTGCAGGAAGAATGAAAATGGATTTGATTTTCATACAGCAACAGAGAAAAATTTAAAAACATATTGAGCAGAAAAAGTAAACAACAAAATAGGGTCTCTAGTACAGAACCATTTATGTAAATTATAACACACACCACGTGACATATTTTTAAGAATAGACTTATCCGAATAAACACATGGAAGGTAGATGGAAAGGATGCCCATACGGTATTTTGAAATGGGCTTCTATGGAATAAAGGAACTGGAGGGGGCTTGTAAAATAAGGGGGGAAATCAAAGTAAAATAAGAAAAAGAGAGTCCTCACACCAGAGAAAGGAGGATAGTGTGCTTTGAGCTGGAGCATACAATCGAATAAGTCTGGGTACCTGCATCTAAAGAAATTTTTTCAAGTTTTCAATTTGAAATGAAGTTTCAGTTCCTGCGACAGACCAGTGGGATCCCAGGTGCCTGCATGGAGCTCTTCCACAGACCAGAAAAAAGCAGCAGTGTCTTCCACTAGAGCCAAAGCTACAAGCTGTCAAACAACACAGTCTGGGCTGTTTGTTGTGCTGTACCGATGTCAGGACGTGGCTCTGTCCTGTCGCTTTAGGTGTGCTATTTTGCTGCTGCTTATGATTATATCCCAACATCATGAACACTGAACCAAAGGAATTTAAAAATCCAGCCATCTCCAACTCTCATGAGATTCCCTCTGACATAAAGGAAACCTCTCCCCTTTCTCCATCCTCCAGCCACTGAGGGAGTGACAAGGCTGTGTCCTCTCTTCTTCTGCTGGGGTTTTTGCAATGTGTTGCCCTACCTGAGTCAAATCGTCATCAAAATAGAAAGACAGCAAGAAAAACATGCTGGGTTTCAAATCGATTTTACACAGGGAGATCCTGTGCTCTGGTTTGGGAGGGTAACTAGCTGGCATCATCTCTTCCTTGTCCCACTGAGCGGGAAGCAGCCAAACGCTCATGTCTGTCAAGATTGCTGGGAAAAACATGGATGAGAAAAGCACAGAATTCACCTTATCTATCTACCTATCAGTCTATCTATCCTTCACCTAGCAATCTGCCCATCTATCTACCCATCACCTGTCTGTTCATCCATCCATCTATCCATCTAGCTATCAATCTATTTCTGTGGCAAGGCTATGGAAACGTCATAGAGCAGATGACTCTGTAATCATTGCCTTTGTTGCAAATGGTATTTTTCTGTGGATAAACAAAAAAGAGTGTGTGGGAGGGAGAGAAAGAAAGGAGGGGAATGTTATTTAGTTAAATACTTCATTTTCATAATAAATTGTTGTTATTCACTTTAAGTACTCAGTTAAACACCATAACATGCTCAAGTGATATCTTGCCTTGAGCAAGTAGCACATTTATAAACAATACTTTATAGTATTTGTGCCAAGTATTTAATATGAACTTCTAGTACTATGTTTATAAGGCAATTCATTAATCTCAAAAAGAGTGATGAGTTGTGCATTGTATGGCTTTTTTGTTGCAATTCCATACCTGGTCTAGCTGTGCCCCCAGATCTGTATTGTTTGAGTAAACATTTTATTTTTCTCTTCCACACATTCACCATAGCATAGACACACTTGTTCCTTGCTCTGGTGAGAAAGTGACTGACTCTGAAGAGGACATTTTTGGCTTCCCTCTCCATTCAACATCTATTTCTCAGCACCCAATTGTGTAGCAGGTACAAGGTCTGAGTGAAATTGACTGACCTACCACTCCCATTCCTGTTACTGGCCCCCCAAATCCTATAGCACAACCCCTTCCTCCTCACCAGAGTAACTGGTATAATTAGAATGAAATTCAGGACTTTTGATGGTTTGGAAAAGAGACTCTTTCTTGCTCTTAATGGAGTGGTGTATGGATGTGCAGTCTAGAACTGCTGCAGCCATTGAACTCTAAGGCAGCCAGTCTGAGAATGCAACTGGCTCACAGCAAGGCAGGGCAGAAAGAGTGCCGGAGAAATGGAGCCAGAGCGCTGGTCAGACTGTGGCTAAAGGCTGCACTCTCTACCTCTAGACATTTTTGTCGTGTGAGTCATCATTTGTTTTAACCAGTTTGCTTTTTTCCTTTCCATTGCAGTTCTTGAAAACTAAATGAATCCTTACCATGCCAGCCCCAAAGTGCTAAAGATAATTAGGGAGTGAGACATGGAAACAATTTGTTTTGTGGAAATCCTTTTCCCCCTGTGTTTATCCAGCATGTTGTCTAGCCTCCAGGAGGCTTCTTTGCTCATTTGTGACATAGATCAGCTCATAAGGAGCCACTTGTTCTTTCTAAACCCGCCTTCCTCTACTTTCAGTATCTCTCCCACACTTGGGACTCAATCTAAAGGCCTTAATCTGGCCATAATTTGGCTGTGGGGACTCTGGGACATCTACAAAATCCTTTGCATTCTCAACTTCCTCAAACCGACAGCGCTGAGAGAGGGGGACTGGTAGCTGCACCTCCTAAGTCCCAGACACACAGGCCCCAGAGAAGCAGGAAGAGCCAGCAGCACGGCCTTCCTCAGTGTCAACAATAGAAATAGAGCCTGCTGCATTGGCCCGTGAAAGAGTCCACAGCAGCCACCAAGATTCTGCCCTTGACACTCTGCTGCCACCAGGTCCTATGTCTGCTCCACCCTCCCAGACTACTCCATCAACCTCCCAAAGACAGAGTGCCTTCCGGCTTCTATTTCTCCACCACGACTTTTCCATTACCACTACTCTAAGACCCCCTAGTCCAGGCACCAGGGGTCTCAACTGCACTCCCACCTTCTGTCCCTAGTACCCACCGTCTTCTTATCCTATGCCGTTCCTTGTTCTTCTGCCCTCTGCTGGGTGCTTTTGTTCTATCCCTCTGTCTTTCTAAACTCTACTTGTCCTCCATGACACTTTCCTAAACATTTGCTACTCAGAAGGATATGAGCTTTGATGTTAGGCTCACCTAGGTTTAAATTCTACCTAGAACACTCATGAGTGATGAAAAAGAGGCCGAATTTGTCTGGAACAAGATACCAAAAATTCAGGATCCACTTGTGCACAACCACCTGTTTCCACTTCCCCTCCCTCTTGCATGGGAGTTATATATCCCAGGAACAACTTCCTGAAGAGACACCCTATGTATTTCCATAAGGAAAACTGTGGACCCAATTCTGCTCTACTCTACCCGTAACCCAGGATAAACCATGTAGAGGACTATTTTACTGAAGTGAGAGGCGGCTGTAACTAAAGCTGTAATAAGTCTTCGTTTCCTAGAGCACACCTCTCCAAAGAATAGGAAAGGTAATCCCAATGAAAAGCACCCAAAAAATAGGAGGAAAGTACTTTTAACACCAAAAACAGATCTCCCTTTCAGCCTATCACCCAGGCCTTTTCTGAGTGAAACAATTTCTGAGCAGAAGGTACCCTGACCTTTGCATATAAGCACATGGCACATGAGAGAAAGAGAGAAAATAGAGATGAAACTCAGCTGATACACTGGGGCTTTTAGCTCTGGATCAGATAAAACCACTAACCTCTTCTGCTTCTTATTTCCCCCTTGGCCATCTAAGTTCCCAAGCTTGCTCCTTAGGAGACCTTAGGACCATTGGAATAACCATTGGCCTTTGGCACATACTCCTTCAAAAGAAGAACACATCATGTTAATTTAACTTACAAAAACAACATAAATAACACAAAATAAATGACTTTCCAGCTCAGTGATTTTACCACCTTGTGCCCCAAGGGATAAGCGGCCTCAGAATTTATTAGTTTACCTTTAGTCTCTGGAAGCTTACCATGGTTTTATCTTTAATGAATTTGCCCAAATACTTTCTCTAGTTGGCAGTGAGACTCTGCATCAACTGGAATAGGAGTTCCCTGGAAGCTTTTGGATACAATGGCTTCTACTCACCTATAGCCGTTTCTCCACCGCCTCGGTTCCTAGTCTGTGCAGTGTGGTTGTCTATCCCCAACATTATCAGATCACCATCTTGGCACAGCTTCACTGTTCTGTATTTGCCCTAAAATATTTGCAATAATAATAATGAATATTTTATGATTAATAATTTTGTTTGCCTTCTTGGAAATTTGAAGAGCTTTTTGGGGAATTGCTTGGCTAGCCCAAGCCTGTTAATAAAAGATGATCAAAGAAATTTGTGCTGAGATCCCTTCTTCATTCTGTAAGTTTTGCTCTGCAGGCAGAGGCTTTCCAATGTCTTTAAAGCTATGGGTGTTTCCCTCAGAATTATAATGATGAAGGTGGCATCTCTCCCACTGAAACCATTAGAAAAGGGTTTACTCAGCATTTCTTCCTTTTATCCTCTCTTACCTTCTTCCTCAGTTCAGCTGCTCAGATTTAGATAGAACATAAGTTAATGGGAAATAATAATATCTTTTCCAAGGGTTTCTCTTCCTTTGTCTGTCAATGGACTGACTTGGCATTTTGTTGGCAGCCTTCAAAGCACTTCACACTTCTCTGCAAAATGCCGAAAGCAATTTATAGGTTCTCAGCACATATAATAAATAGGCTTTCAAAGCAATATCTCTCAAAATTGCCAACAGTATCCAGACTGAGTGAGATACTGTATTTTCCTGTTGGTTTCCCCTGGGAGATATTATCAAATAATTGTAGAGACTATAAAGATAGAGGTAGCAGTTCATTGACCATAAACCACTGATTTTCTGTGACAGACTTACACTGCCCAGAAATGACAATACACCAGCATCACATTACTTCTCCCAATCTGGTTTTATGTTTAGAAGTTCAAAAATTCTTGGTCGGACCAGGTGTAGTGAATATCTGCAAATTTTGCCTCCCACCATCCATTTGCCATTGTGCTGGTAACTTACTACAGTCTTTTTCAGGGAACCATCCCTTTCTGTACTCGGTCCATGTAGTCTAAGTAGGTTCAGTCTGTTCCCAGCTCTAAGAACAAACACATAATTTGAGTCTAAGCCAATCAGCACGCTGCATTTCCCTGGCCACAGTGATTTGCTTAGGGGTGGTCACATGACCCAACCAGAGCCAATAAGATGCAGTAATGTGTTGTTGAGGATTCTGGGAGAGAGAAAGCTGTCTTCATTTCAGGATTTAAACCTGAAGAACACAATGTAAACCTGCTGCCATTATCATGTTACCGTATGGAACCTGAGACTTCAGCCCAGACAGTAATAGAGAGAAACTAAGTCTTAAGAATGCTATTTGAGTCCTTAGCTCCAACTGAAACCATCTATACCCCTGGACTTTTTAGTCAAATAAGAAAAAAAAAAAAAAAAACACCTTTTTCCCTTCTGCATAAGTATTGATTGGATATTCTTTTACTTCAAAACAAAACAAAACAGAAAACCATGAATGCCCCAGCATATACCCTGAAATTAGGGTTGAAAAATGCACTCAGTGAAGGTAAAAGTATAAACTGAGTGATGTGATACAGAGCCTCTATTTCTACATTTCCTAAAGTAGCCAGCACATCAGGCTCACACTGTAGCTTTCCAAGCTGGGCATGTGTATGTCTGAATGACTGAATGAATGGATGCAGAAGGAAAGTTAGGAATAATTCATGCCAAGCATTAGGGAATCCCTGGGTTTCAAAGCAACAATCACTGGAACTGAAATCTCTAGGGTGAATATGAAACTGCAGATCAATGTTGAATGTGCAGAACTCATTAAATACTAAGCCACAGAATAAAATACCTGTGAGCAAGATGGCTCTCACTCGCCAGGTTCTTGGCAAGGCTACCTGTCTCCCTAAAACAGGAAACAGACAAAACCTAAGGGAAGGCCCCTTACCTCCCCCTGCCCCTCAGTTGCAGATGCACCCCTGGGGCAGTGAACAATCATATTCAGGGCCTCAGAGTGTCTCCCAACACAAAGGGGTGTAGGCTGAGAGGGCAGCATGAATTCATGGAAGACACTCATGCAGAGCTTGGCAGCCTCCTTTTGACACTAGTAAGTTAAGCATCCCCAAAACTCTGAAAATACATTTTAGACAAGGAACGCTCAGAACCTCAAGAAAGAGGTATCCCCATAAGACCTGGATATGAAGAAGGAACCAGGACATAAGGTGGAACAGCTTTAGAAAACTATAAATGGAGCAAAATTTTGCTCTCATCCACTGTATTCTATGTCCCCTAGCAGCACTCAGAGGTCCAAGACTTGTCCATGTCTTCAGCCACAGAGGAAATGGGTCAGAGACTCCTTGTACAAAGGATTTTGGAATCAAGCGGATAAAGGGACACTAAGAATAAAAAAAGATAAAAGAAAAAAAGAGGAACACTCAGGAAGAGGCCAGCCTTCTGTTCAGCTTATGTGATGAAACTTCCCAGTCATTGACAAGGAAACCCTGAAACGGCCTTCCCTGAACAAATAATGTAATTCTACTGCTGCAATTGTATTCTTTTCACTTCTGACTTATATCATTAAAATACAAATTTCTTTGGAGAGGAAGTAGCTCAGACCTTAACTATTGGTAGTCATTTGCTTCTCTGTGGCAAAGCTTTTGTGACTAGAGAAGAAAACATGATAACTAGGAATATAAATATATAGAGGGGATGAGGAAATGGGACAGAGAGAGGGAGAGGGAAATATATTTGGGCAAGTGACACACAAGAGGGAAGAGCACAGACTTTGAGGTCAGAAAGGCCTGGATTCAAGTCTTTACTCCACCACCTATTAACGGTTACTGTTAACAAACCCACAAGGGGGGTTCAATGTTGCTTGCAGCATGGAAAGCCAATTATTGAGACAATGAGGATTGTCAAGGAAAAACGGATTTATTATAGTGGACACATCTACTGGGAAGTGTGAACTGCCTCAGATCCACCTCTCCAACCAACAGGGTCAACGGGGGTTTCTAGAGGTGAAATGAATAGTGCATGAGGGAAGTGAGCCTCATTGCATGTTTGGGGTGAAGTGCAGGGCACACACGTGCAGTGAGAAATCATGCTAGTACATATGTTCCATGATCAAAACATGGTGGATAAGTGCCTCTCGGGGTGGGGATTTTAGTATTATAATGAGCTAGGAGTTAATATTGGTCATTCTTTCAGCCTGTGCTCAGGCTCAGTGAGTCATTGGGCACGGTCTGTGGTGGAGTATCGCTTATCTTATCTTCTCCAGACAAACAGGTGGTGTGAGGCTTTGTAGTTATCTTGTGCATGTGAGGAGGCTCCACCATTTCTGGGAAAGAAACTCGAAGGGAATGTGTCAGTGCAGCAAAAAGTTGCAAAGTTCTGGGCAGCAAATCTTACCAGCCTGGGAACCTGAAACACAAGAGAACTACAAGAAAAAAAAAAAAAAAAGTATTAAAAAATATTTTCTTGCTTATGGAGCCCATTACATTACTTTGGGCTAATTACTTCACTTCTTTGAAACTCAACTACTTCCTCTGTGAAATGGGAATATAAAAAACAGTCTTTATGCCTTCGATTATTGCATCCTGTCTTGAATACCCACATATTCCTTGACATTTGCCTGGCTAACTCCTATTCAGGCTAGATGCCACCCCATTGTCACCTTCTCAGGAAGGCTGTATTGGGGAGGTGCTCCTTGTCTGGGTCCCACAACATCTACCTACGTATATCAGAAGCTGCATCAATTGTAACACTTATTTTGATGTACTATGACTTCTTCCTCTAAATGTCTTCACTACAGTGAGAGGAGCTTAAGGCTTGGGATCTGTGTCTTATTCATGGGTGCATCCCATTCTTAGAAAACTTGAAGAAATAAAGAAGAGGGATCTCAAGGGTTCTCATCTAGGAGAAATGAAAACATTGGACTTAGGTGGACCAGGGAAGAAGCAGGGGAGCCCTTCAGGAGGCTGTTCCTCTACTACAAGGTGAAGTAATGCAGGCAGGGATAAGAGAGAGATGGTCAGATATACCACTTCTATTCCACCCAAACCAGCCTCCTAACCTGGAGCAGCAGTCTGAATGGATATAAGACAGGAATTGTGACACTGTTATTAGACAAAGTTGAATTCAAAGTCAAAAGCATTGTGTGGGGGCAGAAGCAGTCACTTTACAATGATGAAGCTGCAATCCATGGATTAAAGTAGCATGATCCACTAGAAATCAAGTAACAAAGCATCAACATTTGTAAAACAAAATTATAAGAAATACAAAGACAAACTGCAAAAATATAAAAGTAATAAAAGGTTTAAATGTACCTCTTTAGATCTCTGAAGATAAAGCATAAGAACATAAGTAAGGATATCAAATATATGAACAATATAATTAAAAATATGTCTTCCTAGGTTGCTATGGTGCATTTAGAAAAATTACCATCTTTTAGGCATAAATTCCAAGAAACTATGATAATACAAATCTATTCTAAGATTATAATACAATAAAACAATAAATAAGTAACAAAAATAGAAACCAATAGAAAAGCCAAACACTTGGAAATCAGGGGGAAAATATTTCTCCTAATTAATTATTATGTCAAAGAAAATAGGTAAACTCCAATTGCTAACTCTATATAAAATAAAATAATAACATTATAAATTAGAACTGAGATACATTCAAAATTGTACCCAGAGGAAAACTCATATCTTTAGACATTTATATTACTAAACACACAAGGATGATATTAAGTTAAACAAGCATTCAACATAGAAAATTAAAAGGGAAAGAAAAAAATTTTAAGGTTCAAGAAAAATATAAACTCAAAAAACAATGAATTGGTAATCAACAAATAATAGAATTAAATATTTTAAGAGAGAATTCTTTAGAGAAAAATCAATACAACTAATATATCATTAGTCAGCCTAAAAAAGAATAAAAGACAAAGTACAAAATGATAAAAGTAGGAATGAATAAAGGAGAAAACACAAAGGCAGAAGAAATCCAAAGATATGTAGGAGAACATTTTGCCCAGTAATGTGTTACTAACTTTGAAAATATGAGTGAACTGTGTGATTTTTTTTCAAAGAAAATCATAAATTAATAGCACAACAAAATAGAAGAGAGAAAACCATGGCAGAAACCAAAAGTTATGTCAAAGAGCTACCCACTTAACATCTCCCATCCATCCAAAATACTATAGTCAGATGATTTTACAAATGAATTCTAGCAAATATTCAAGGGGCAGATAATCCTCATATTAAAAAAAGAAAGGAAAACTATCTCAAATTCGGCCCAAAAGAAAAGAACAAAGTCCCTACCACTAGATAAAAAAAAGTCACGTGCTCACATTTTAAGACCAGCATGTGGAATGAGAAATATTTTTATGGCCATAATTGAAAAATACAATCGATCTCACTCTCATGCTCACAATTGTGGTCCCCTTCTCTAACACCTAAGCTATCTCTCAAAGGTCTACAGAATATTAATAGACTCCTGGTTGTCACGAGAACACCACGAAAGAAGCATACCTGATGCTGTCTTGCTGTATTTACTGTCCTGTATCTTTCTGGTTGAAGCCAAGGCTAAGGGTGGCCTCACTATTGTAATTAGGTGACTATAATTGTCAGGTTGAGCCTAAGGCCACTAACATGGACCTTGTACTTCAAAGGTGTCTTTAAGTTCTTGTTCTACTTTTGAAGAAATCCAAATTGGAAACTGTGGACACAAATGATTTTAAAAGATACATACTCAAAGAAAATGCCATGACCCTACATCAAAAGCGTGGTGAATTGGAGTGCAAGTATATATTTTATGTTTAAATTAAAATTAAACAGAAGGGCCAAGAGGGAGGACTAGAAGCAGGCGGCACAACGCTGCACTCACAGAGGCTCGAAAGTGGCAAACAGACGTTCACCGTTGAATCAATCACCTAAGAGAGAACACTGGGAATCAACATAGAGGAGGCAGAGTGAAGGGAAGGAGAGAGAAGTGGGATGACCTGGTTAGCAGGACTGGAGGTACCTGGGGAAGGCGCCCACACGTGGGAAAGGGACAGAGGAGAGAACTCTGGGCTCCATGCTTCCCCTGAAGATCCTGCAAGCAGAGTGGCAGGAGGCCCCTCCCCTGCAGCAGGCCTCTGGACTGGACCTGACTGAAGGCTGTGCAGCTGCATTGCTCTGCAGAGAAGGCACAGCTGGCTTGTGAGCCCTGGACACTGTGGCTGGCACCATTGTGACATCACAGCCCCAAAGTGCTACTTCTACCCAGGGGTCAGACCTGTAACTGCTACTTCCTTCTTGCCCCTGTCAGGCAGGGAAGGACCAGGAAGTCCTGGCACTCATATGTGCCGCATGAACAGCATGTGCCCCATATCACAGGCCAGCTCCACCTCCCACCAGCACCTTGCACCATCGATGATGTCAGCTATCAGTACCTCTGTTCAACATTGTACTGGAAATCCTAGCCAGTGCAATAAAGAATGAACATATGTATTCATAAAAATTGAAAAAGAAGAAGTAAAATGTTTATGCACAGAAGATATAATTATGTAGAGAATCCTAAGAAGTCTACAATGACATTATTAGCATTAATAAATGAATTCAGCAAGGTCATAGGATAGAAGTTCAATATGCAAAAATCAAGTAAAGCAACAAACAATTGTAAAATGAAACAAAAAATTCAATTACAATACAGTCAATGAACATATTTTAGGAATAAATTAAGCATAGGATGTGCAATACTATTGCCATTTTAATGGCTACGTAAAAATAATAGGATCCAGCAGTAGCAGAGGCCAAGTGTGAAGCTTAATCAGCAGAGACCAAGGTTGGAGTGATTAACATACTGGAAAACTAAGAAGAAGTTGCTATCAGAATGTTTAGATTCTATGGAACTTTTGATGGTGGCTAATTGATCACAGCATTCCCAGGAATAAAACATATTGACAGCCTACTGAAGAACTGCTGTATCTACACAACTGAAAAATACTCTAAATCTAGCAAAAAGCAGCCTGATGAATTGCCTCACAGAAAGTTGGAGCCTTTTGCCAGTTTTTAAGAAAGCTCCTTGAATATAAGTTTGGGAGCTCATGAGGAGGGTCTGCAACACACCCACAAATATATAATTCAAATCTTTCTGTAGGTCTTACCCAGAAACATTTGTGGCCATTTATGAGGGTTACTTTACATTGAGAGGAAAATACATGGAATTTCAGGATTACTAAATATCAAGTAATATCCAAGTTGAAGCTAAAATCTCAACCACTGTAGTGTATGTAGCATGTAATATTGACGCCTAAGGAGATCAGGTGATAAATAGTTTTGGCCTGGGAACATCTCACAGTAGGTCCAGTGAGTCAACAAACCCTGTGGTTATTTCCCTATTTCCTGAATGTATAATCAACATGGACACACTAAGCAACTAGCAGAATCCCCACACTGGCTCCCTGAACTACAGGAAGCAAGTGAAGCCCCTGGAGCTTCCCCTTTCTACCAGAATATTTAATCCCTTAGAAACACCAAATCCCATCGGAAGCAACAGAGATCAGTGACACCAAAGACTTGATTAATGCAGCGGTGGTACCTAAATCACTTGTTTGGCCTATAAAGAGGACAGGTGGATCTTGGAGGATGACTATGGATTATTGCAAACTTGATGAGGTTATGTTCCAAATATAGTATCTTTTTAAGCAAATCAATACAGTCTTTGGCACCTGGTAGGCAGTTATTAATCTGACAATTGTTTCTCTTTCTCTTTCTCCCCCTCCGTTTCTTCTCCCTCCTTCCCCCCCCCCCCCCCCACACTGCCATCCTTCAGAAGTCACTTGCTTTCATGTTAGGGACAGCAATATACCTTCCCTCTTTGCCTCAAGGCTATGTCAACTCTCTTGCTTTCTGTCACAGTCTAGCCATGGCAATTTAGTCATCTTGATATTCCGCAAAGCATTACCCTGATCTATTACACAAATGACATTCATGTTGATTGGACATGATGAAAAGTGGAAAATACCTACGGCTACATGTGCTAAGGGATAGGAGATAAACTCCATCAAAACTTGGAAAGAAATCAACATGGTCCTTTTTCGGGAGGCCTAATTTCTTTTGAAAATAAAAGTTCTTTCTGCTCCGTGCATAGCCTACCACTAGGAAAGAAGCCCAATACTTGGTAAGGCTCTTGGATTTTAAAGGCAATATGTATCACATTTGAGTACTCTGCTCTGACCTGTTTACTAAGTAACTCACATGACCCCCAGGTTTGTGTGGTTTGTTTGTAGATTATCATTCTTACACTTGATAATCTACTTAAAGAATCTCTACTTCCTGTCCTTGTATTTTGGGGTTCTGCTGTTCAAAAAAAAAAAAAAGTTTTAGATTCCAAGAGAGAAATCTTGCCACTGGGTGACACAATAGTTTCACTGAATTGAGAGTCAAGATTGAGACCTGGTCATGTTGGAGTCTGCATGCTAGTGATACAAGGGGAAATTGGGTTGCTGCAAGTCGTGTTCATATCTGGAACCCAAGTAGTGAACCTCTCCTACCCAATAAGGCAAGTCTTACAGGACTGGCAAGGACTCAGGTCATCCAAGTCAGTAACACTGACCAGCTCTTGTTAAGCACACCGAGAATGTCATAGAATGAGGGTTCTGAATAATAAGGCAGATGTTCCCTCTCATATAATTAGCACAAGAGAAGCCTGAGGTTTTGAGTGTAGCTCAGAGCTAACACAAAGTAAATAGATTGATTATTTAATTCAATTAGGAAACTACTTATTTTCCTGTGGAATCAAAAACCTTTTATTGCAAATTAAACATGTGAATAAGAGAAAAAAATGTGGCTTATCATTTGGGAGTATAAATGTCCCCCCAAATTGATTGATCGATAAAAATGAATTAAAATGATTTCCTGGAAAGAAAGCAATACTTCCAAGAATCTGGATCCCAATACTGAGGTACAATTCTCAAGTGACTCTATGTTTCCTTTGAGATTTACCACTATTGTAAACAGCGAATCAAGGGGACTCGGACACCAGAATCCAATCGCCAAATCAGTTTATTGATACCTGCGCAGGGACTGTCACCACTCCATGCAAGGAGGGAGAAGCAGCCCCAAACAAAGCCTTTGCATTTTTTTTTATACCCTGGGAGCTGGCAGCTATGCAAGCAAGCAATTACAGAAAATCACAGAAGCAGAACTTTGCGGTTAGCCATTAGTTAGTTAAGCGAACAATGGAAAGGTACACTAAGGGACAAGGGACTTTCCTGGAACAGGACCTCTCTATTCTTTCTGAGAACAGGCCTCCTCGACTCCCTCCTCCCTCCTCTGGGAACTTTCTTACATGGTCAGGACCTTTTACTAATGGTTAGAGCAAGACTGACTCCATTTTAGATCTACAGGAGTCATCTTTAGTCTATCTACTTCACCACAGATTAACTCAATTTGAGGGCTTCTCAAAAGATGAGATCTCCCAAACTGAACTTAAATGGGCTCACCAGAGGAGTACAAGGAGAGGCTGTGGGGCATGGGTCAGAGATGTTGAGGAATGGTTCCTGTATCACCTCAGCTCATTTAATTCCCACAACCACCCAATGAGGTAGGTGTTGTTATAATTCCCATTTTACTGAAAGGAAAACCAAGGCATAGTGAGCTGAAGTGCTTACCCAAAGTAAGACAGATCCAAGGCAGAGGTAGGATTCTCAACCAGATCTGGCCAACCCACAAAATGACTCTTTTAACCTTCGCCAGGTTGCTCTGATCTATTTGTCCCGTAAGACCTGCCAGGTTGGCTTATAGTACAGTAATTCATGGATCATGGGATGAAATATTCCCCGAGAAAATTAGAAGGTCACAGCCAATAGTGACTATGGAAGAAATATTACTATAAACTGTGGTACAATCCTATGCTTTTGATAATTCTCTCAAGAGATAATGTATTATGTTAGTTTATCATTTAAAAAAATTCTCAACAAGCTGTTTACCTGTCAGTCTGTATCTGTGGTGATTGTTTTTGTAACATCAGATAAATGAGCAATTAGAGAGTTTACACAGCTTTTAAATGTGGTAGAGCTTGTAAACCTGAACTCCGGGGATGGCGAATGTCACATTAGATGGCTTCAGGGCATACTGTTGTTTCAACAGCTCTATTATGACATTCCTTACCCTAGTCTGAGGACATTTTCCTTCCAGCAGGATACAATGGGAAAATTGGGGACAGGTCACTTGGATGCTAGACCCAGTTGTCCTTGGGTAACCTTGACCAAGTCAAGATTTCCCTCAGTTATTTTGTTAACAAAATGAGAGGGATGAAATTAGATTATTTTTAAGACACTTCAAGCTTTAACATTCTATGGCTTTATGAATTCTTCACAATTTCCTAGGCAAGATTCTAAACAAGGGAAAATTTAGCCCTCAATAAATATTAGTTATTGTCATCATTATTATTTGAAGAAGTAGAAAAGTCTGTAAGTAGGAAAACACTAGCAAAACTAGCACAACCAGGATATAAATTTCTACCATTAAAGACTCATTTCTTGGCCGGGCGCTGTGGCTCACGCCTGTAATCCTAGCTCTTGGGAGGCCGAGGCGGGCGGATTGCTCAAGGTCAGGAGTTCGAAACCAGCCTGAGCAAGAGCGAGACCCCGTCTCTACTATAAACAGAAAGAAATTAATTGGCCAACTGATATATATAAAAAAAAAAAAAATTAGCCGGGCATAGTGGCGCATGCCTGTAGTCCCAGCTACTCGGGATGCTGAGGCAGAAGGATCACTCGAGCCCAGGAGTTTGAGGTTGCTGTGAGCTAGGCTGACGCCACGGCACTCACTCTAGCCTGGACAACAAAGTGAGACTCTGTCTCAAAAAATAAATAAATAAATAAATAAATAAATAAATAAATAAATAAAAAAGACTCATTTCTTTCATGTTAGAAGGCTTAAAAATATCTCAGAAAGGAGGAATCTCATACTGTAAGACAATGATTTTTTAAAAAAGAAAAAAAGCAGATCTCTTTTAAAAAAAATTCTTTTCATGAGCACCTGTATACCAACCATAGATGTAGTTTTTTGTATGAAGTGGGGAATGGGGCAATGGTGGGGCATGGGTGGGGGTGGCCAAGGGTCCTTCCACGTAACCTTTTCTTCACCCTTACCTGGACCCCAAGCACTGCTTCAAAAACCTAG